GAAATTCAGTACTGTTCAGCTTCCGTTTGGCGCTGGTTGGCTTTATCCTCACCCTTGACCTGTACTTGGAGAAAACAAGCTGTGTGCAGAAGTCGGTGCTGGGCTCTGGTATGCTTCCAGGGTGTTTCCATCCCCTGTAACTCACCTGTGCACAAGCCTGTTCCAGTGTAGCTAGTGATACAACCCCCCCTCCAGATGCACCTGCTTGGGTGTGAGAGTGGCTTGGTGTTGTTTAGCTTAGGCCTGATTTATAGCTCTGCAGGCAGAGCTGTGAGTGTTTCCATGCTTGCAGCTGCTCAGGAGAGGCAGACCCTCCTCTTTCAGCTGGAAAAGCAGTGCCAGTCCCCTCACTCAGAGATGGCTTCTGCTACCACTGGGCAGCTGGCAGCAGGTGTGTCTAGACATGCCCATGCTTTCTGCTGGCTGCTCCCCAGAGTGCATTTCCCATGCTGGTGGCATCGCTGCTGCAGTGAAGCCCCGTGGCTCTGGCAGGAGCCTTGCTGTGCACGTTCTCTAGTAGGTTTGCCCCTGCCAGAACTTTTGGTGGCAGAAGCAGTCTATTGTAGACGGCCTCTGTGTCTCTAGGGGCCAGCCTGCATGGGGTGTGGAGCCAGGACAGTGGTGTGGGGTGTAAGTCACACCCACCATTCCATTTGGAAGCTGTGTGCGGACACTTGTTCCTCCAGCATGCGAGCCTCCGGGTTCAGTGCAAGTTCAGTCCACTCTATCAGCTTGCCTTAGCTAAACTGATATAGAAGCCCTGTGTGGCAGGGGCATGTGCTTCAGGATTAGAGTGCTTTTCATATTGATTTAACTAAGACAGTAACAAGCAGGAAAGTTGGATCCTAGGAAAGACTTAAATTACTGTGAAATAAGGGGCTCTTCGGTTTGTAACAAGCATCAACACGTAGGCTTTAAACCAGCCTGACTTGTGGTGTGACTTACAGTCGATGCAATTGTCTCTGTTCCCTTTCCTTTGCAGACAGTTCCTCGCTGGCTTAAGCAAATCCAGATAAGCTTGGTTTAAACAGATTCTAGGGTTCAAGAAGCCTTTTGTGCCAGTTTAACCAAGCTGGTGTGAGAGAGCACCTTAGGTTGCCTTCGTGGGAGCTCCAGGGCAATCTCTTCCTGAATGGGGAAGCAGGCTTGGGGTGTGAGTTTCTGGCTGTGCCATGTTGTTGTATGTAGATGTACAGTAGGGAGTCAATGCAGAGTAACTAGCAGGCTGTGCGGTCATGTCCCAGTTTACTTCGCAATGGGAATTACTGTGGGATAAAGTGTGTAGAGGTATTCTGAGCCTGGGAGCTGAGTGGGAGCAGATGGGGGGAGCTGTTAGCCAAACAAGAGATGCCTTTAGTGGTAGCTGGGGAAAGATGGAAAGCACCCAGCTGAGCAAATTAACCACAGCCTGCTTGGAAGAGAGGAGGCTTGGATTTGCCCTGAGGAGTGGGGAGCTTGGCCTGACAGCTCAGAAAAGACCTGGCATTGATCTGCAGAGCTTCATAGCACCTTCCAGCATGAGAATAGTTCATGGCTACTCAGAGGAGCCTCTCTCTGCCAAAACGGCCACCTACCTCCCTTATGACACCTCAGTCATTTAACAACGCAGGGTAGCGCTGGTGCTAGTTATACTTTGCAGTCCTATAATGGCATTGATGGAGGTACTCAGATCAATTTGTAGATATCAACCCACCCACCATGCCTGGGAAGGTGCTTTGCCCACCACTGAAATGCAGCCACTGCTGGGGTGGACCCCAGCAGATACTTAATAGCTCTTGGGAGTTCAGAGCAGGAAGGAAGGGAGGAAGGTCTGAGTGACTTTAATATGGTTCTAACATGCTTTGGTTGCTTCCTTTCTATTGGTGTGATGCTGTGTTGAAAACCAGAGTAGGACTTGCTCGGCAGCTCCTGCTCTTGGTAAAGAGGATAGAAGAGGGGAGGAAAGGATGGTCTCCTGATGCAGGTGAATGGCCTGAAGCTTACAGTTGCTGCATGGGGGAGAGGAGGCTTTCTGATGCAGCACTTCTCGCTTCCCAACTCCTTGTTACTGTGCATCTATTGTGCTTCTGTGACTCCTGTCCATGCAGTGTCTGAGCACTTTCTGTATTCCCTGCCTCCCCTTGAGGAAGGACAGTGCTACTAGCCCCACTTTGTAGATGGAGATCAGTGAGACAGGGATTTGCCTGGAGTTGCATAGGAAGTCTGTCAGGGTAGGAACTTAAACCCTGGCCTTTTGCCCCCTGCAAATGTCCAGATCTGATGCACCGTGTGAGTGCTATGAAAGTGGCATTTAAATCTCTCAACTGCCTGTTCCTTCTTGACTTCTATCCAAACTGAGAGAGGGTTAGGAAGGCAACCTCGACAGTGGGCTGGCCAGCTTCATTCTCTGGTTCTTGGGCTCCCTCAGCACCACGCTGCATGAGATGTTGGCTGTGACTGAAGCTGTGTCGTGCCTGCAGATGGCCCTGGATTGTAGTGATGCCCAGAAGACAAGCAAGGGTCTGGGCTCTAGAGATCTTGAATAGGAACATGCTGTGCTCCAGCTGAGATGCAGGTGGGTCATCAGGAGATAGCACAATAAGAGAGCAGGCTTGGCAGGTGGAACCACCTCCTAATTACTCTGAGCATAAGGAGTGGCAGTGAGAGGCTGTACAGTCAGGGGATGAGCATGCTGGGGCGTGGGAGGGGACTGGGTGGAAAGGTAAGCTGGGGTGGGGCAGGAGGGGGGTATGTGCTTGGAGCCCAGGGAGGAAGGAGACGGGGAGACCTGGCTCATTGCAGGGACAGGAGCTGGGAGACATGGTCAGACGCCGAGGGGCTCTTAGCCGTGCTGCTGTGGGGGAGGAAGGTGCAGAAATCCAGGTGAGCTGTGAAGTGTGGGTTGGGCTGCTGCTGGAGAATGGAGGGCAGGGACCTGATGAAGGTGTCTAGAAGGGGTCTGGCGTTTGCTGGGAGCCTGAACATTCGGGGTGGGGTGGGCAGAAATTATAGTACTTGACATTTCCTTGGAGGCTTTCTGAAAGGGCTGCCCAGAGTTTAGGTTCTGCACAGGGGAGAACGAAGTGGGGAGAAGACTGGGTGTGGGGGTGATTTGGGTCTACACTGTGGTAGTGTTAGAGCACCTGGCATTAGGAGCTGTACAGACATGCAAGAGAAGGGTGTTCCCCAGCCCCTGGAAGGTGCTCTCTATTTGGTGGGGGAATTTTTGAACAGCAGGTTTGGAAGCTGAGGTGCCAAGGAGGGTGGCAGAATTGTCGGCTGCAATCGCAGGAGTGGAGAGGAGGATTTTAGGTACTGGGTCTTAGATGCTGCCTTTTGGGAAGTGGCAGAGCCTCTGTGAGCCTGGAGAGATGGAGTCTGGAAGGATGGAGGGAGGCTGCAGAGAACAGTCCTAAATGTACCCCATAACTGAACTAAAGACCCAAACAAAACTCTTGGAGAAGGTCACCTGCTTCTTGAGCAGTCACGGGATCTTGTTTCCCTGCTCTTATTACAAGCAACACCTAATATTACCACATCGCTGAATGAGACTCGGGAATAGCTGTCCTGTCTTCCTCCCCTGTATGTGCACCATAGAGCCTCCCTCTCTTGTCAGACCCTGCACACCTCGTGTGTGCGGCAGCTTTGGACATAAGGGTGATTTTTCTCTTGCTGTTTGCATGGATTTTTCCCTGGGGAAAACTTTTTTTTTTTTAATGTTGCAAAATGCTACAGGAACTGGCAGCAGGCATCCTGAAGAAGGGGTGGGGTGGGGGGGCTGAAACTGCTTGGGTGTCTGCTTTTATTGGCAAGGCTTCATGGTGTTGGCATTGCTTTAAAACAGGCTTTAGATTATCAGCCTGCCTTCACCTCTCAAGTCTGGTGCATGCAGCTCTTGTCCCTGCTGTGTCTGTGATTTCCACTTCTTCCATACTGCATGCACACAAGCTGGTTGCGGTGGGTCTGTGGTCACCAGCTGAGTGTCTAGTGTGTTGTTCCTTGGAAAATGGCACGTTCAGTGGATAGTAGTTAAAATGGGGACAGAATGAGAGGGGGGCCATGTTGATAGCCCAGAGCTTTCCAAGGAGAAAATCTCAGACATGAAGATTTGACTTTGGTGGAAGATCTTCAGGCTGCTAAAAAAGTGTGTGTGTGTGTGCATGTGTATACGTGTATATACAGTGGTGCATGTGTATACATGTACGTACAGTGTAATCAGACCTTCCATTGGGAGCTTGTTCCTCCTCTACCAGTGAAGACGCGAGTTCAGGGAGCTGAGATCTGCTGCTGCTCATTTATTTCCAGTTGCTCTTTCTTCCTCTTTATTGCTATTGGCTGCATGGGCCATTTTCCCAGGCATTGAAGTGACAGGGAGGGCCCCTTCTGTACAGGAAGGTGCTGCTTGTCTGCACTGATGGTGGGGCGGGGGGAGGGAGGGGATGCTTTTTCCATACAGGCTCTAGCCAATCCAGGAAGGCAGCCAGGCCTGAATTTCTCCCTTCTGCTTTTTATTAACAAAAGATGTGGCTCTTCAGGAGAGGTGGTTTTTCATTGAAGAGTATCTGTGAAGTTTGCTGGAGCAATGACTTGATTTCTTATCTCTCGCTTAAATTAGCTGCCGTGGAGGTCACCAGTCTCCCAGCGCAGAGGTTCATAAAGGCTACAGGCCCTGATGGGGCAGGGGGTGCCTCAGACCTGTGGTCTAGTTCCCCCATGACCTTAGCCAGCCTCCTGTCCCATGGGTCGTCCCCTTTCTCTAGAGATCTCTCAGGGTTGCTCGGCTGGCCAGCCGCTATGGCAGGATTGAGTAAGGGTAAGCATGGCTCTCTACCTCCTCCCAGGATCTAGAGCATGAAGCTCAAAGCTGTTTCTAGCCAACTATCAGCTGGATTAGTAGATTCTTAATGAAGTATCTAGGCCTCCCAAAGTCCCATGGGCTTGCCAGAACCAGCCCTCAGCTCCCTCAGCATGTCCTTGGTGTGGTGACTGTCTGCCTGACTGGTCTTTCTGCTCCTTTGCAGGCGAAGCCCATCTATGGCGGGTGGCTCTTGCTGGCTCCGGAAGGCACCGACTTTGACAACCCTGTGCACCGATCCCGGGTAAGGAAAGCAGCACCTTTGTCTTTGCTGTCACGGTTGCAATTGCGATGGATGGATAAAGGGCTGCCTGGTAGGGCTGGCATGGGGAGGAGCTGGGCTGGGTGGGGGGTGGAGGAGGATAGGCTGGAAGAGAAATGCAGGGAAAAATTCCAAGGGGTTCATTGTTCCTTTGCTGGGCCCTGGCTCCTCTTTCCTATATGCTCAGCAAACAGACTCAGTCCCACGTGCCCTGCTTTACTGTGATGGAGGGGCTTGATTAATATTGTGGAGGTGGGGAGGGTGACACATCAGCTGATGGGCAAAACTTCCTGTATTGTGTGCCCAGTGTGTGCATGGGGCAAATGTCAGTGGAATATCCCTTAAGGTAGAGATCTCTAGGTAGGGAGCTCCTTTGGTGAAGGGCAAAGGTATAGCTGTTCTCTAATACTCCCAGTGCAAAGACTGTGGATAGAGCTGGATTTTGCTGTCTGCACCTTGTCCGGGTGATGGGCGAGAGAGGCCCTCCATCACAGTAGTACTGTGCAGGTACAGTAGGGCTGCAGGTGGCATCAGTGCTATCATGAGCAGCAGTTTGTTCCCAGCTCCTCTGAGCTGGAGAGACTGGCCAGATGGGCTTGGCTGACTGTAAGCTGCCAGCCAACCAGGACTCTCTGCTCAGTGCTTCAGCTTCTTTCCTTTCCATCCCACAAGGGGTGTGTGGCTGCAGAGCTGCATCCCATGGACTACATGTTACTTCTGCCAACTCTGAATGTTTGCACCTGGCTTTTGAATCTGTTCTTGGCAGGAAGCCAGGCACTGTATAGGCACGTGCCAGCTGGTGCGTGCCCTAAAGAGCTTATGGTTTGGATGAAACAGACCTAGGGTACCAGGGGTTAATGGCACCAGGAATGATGTAGCCATGGTTCTAGCGTAGATCAGAGCTGGGATATAATCATGGCCTCTGCTTCCCAGCCCAGCGCCTGATCCCTGGACCACGCTTGGCTCTGGCCCTGAACCACAACCTGCCCACTTAACCTACATGTGTTTCTGGGCCTGAATCTGCAGCCAGGCTGGAGCAGGGGGAAGGTAGTCTCTTGCCTGACCTGACCATGCTTCATGTTGATTCGTCCACAGAAGGAGTTCTATATTAGCAGGCAAGTGATAGAGAGAACTACCATGGGTCTAGAAACAAGTGGGAAGCTCTCAGCTCTTGGGGCAGCCTGCAGCACTGGTTGGCAGTGGATATTTGCCCTGCAGATCTGGATGGGCATGGTGCATGGGTGTTGTGGGCATTGAGTGAGCGTGCCCTGTTTGGGTTGCTGCAGTGACGAGTAAATAAGTATCCTGACTTAGCTGGGGTTTGGAGCCATGGGGTAAGAGCTGGGGATACTATATGTGTGTTTTTTCTGACTGATCAAGAAGGTTGGATCCTCCTCTTGGCTGTAGCACCCATCAAATTGCACGTGCCTTCTTGCCATGTCACCAAGAGCTTCCTAGTGGTCAGGTAGATGTGGACAAATGTAGTCTCATGCTCTACCCTGTCCACTGCTTTACCCTCTCTTGGTGTGGGGCTGGCTGTTGAAGCCTATATGGGAACCTGGTATAGTGGCTTGGGAGGGTGGTATGATAGTTGAGATTTATTTCTGCCTGGAGACCTGTGGACAGGAAGGGTAGCCATCCATATGGATAGGAGTAGGGAGGGTGGTGTCCAAGCTGGCTCAAAGTTCATGATGCAGCTACATCTTGGGCATTGCTGGAATAATTTATGATGGAGGTGGGGTTCAGCCTCTTGTGACCAAAGCCTTAATTTGATCCCTTCCCCTCTCCCCC